GTTCTCCTGGGAATATAACTGATCTCCAGGGGACAAGATCAGTTTCCCTGGAGAAAATGACCACTTTGGAAGGTGGACTCTTTGGGATTATACCTCCTGGGGTCCTGCCCTTCCCCAAATCCAGCCCTCCTTAGGCTCCACCTCCAAGATCTCCAGGAATTTCCCACCCCAGAGTTGGCAACGCTAGTCTCTTAGGACTTGGGAAATCTGCTTTTTTCCCTTTCCCATTCTTCAATTTTTGTAACATCTATCCTGACAAATAGCACCCACCACGGTGCACCACTCACATGCCTTCTGCCAATGGTGCTGGGCAGCATGGGTGGGGGTGGGGGAATGGGGGCAGAGAGGCAGTACCACTGACCCCCCCCCAAAAAAAGCCCCTGCAGCTGCCCCTCCTCTAGATATGCTGACAGTGGCCCTTCTGCTAAAGACAGAGGAGCAGATGCGGCACAGAAAAGATGGCAAACCAGTTCTCTCTCTCTCTCTCTCTCTCTCTCTCTCCCCCTCTCTCTCTCCATCTCCCTCTCCCTCTCCCACACACACTCACACACACACTCACACACACAGGTGTGAGACTGAGAAGAGAAAACATCGAGATATGAGGTCCAAGCCCGCACAGCCTTCATTTAAATTCATCGACTTTAAAATGCAAGTACGGTATATATCAGATCAGATTTCTGCCTCCAAAAGGACTGGACGTCCAATGTTCTGCATCCCAATGAAGGTTTGAATTTGCACAGGTTAAAAAGCAGTACATTGGAAGGCAGCGCTGCTCTGATACCCAAGGTCAACTTAATTGTGCATTAATTGCTATCACGCCTCCAGGGGACTTTGATGCTCTAGCTGGAAGCTCAGTGGGTTAAGAGAGAGGACCATCCCTGTCTCTTGGAGAGAGCCTGCGTAAGCTCTGTTGTCCCTTTAATTTGGCCTGGCAAAGCAGGCCCGATTGAATATATACTGCCAAGTTGCACTGGAAGAGACTCTGGGAGTCATTTCCAGCTCCCAGTGAATTGAACTAGAGGTTCGACTGTTCACCTGTTACAAGGGAACTCACAAAATCAGTCTGTCTCCTCTTGGACAGCCAGAAGGCGGCTGCTTCTTTTCAGTTGGAGGTCAGGGCAGAAATAGAGGCTCTTCCCAACATTTGTCCCACCACCACCCCACTGGGGGGGGGGCGGTTTTGGCAGAAAAAGCACCAGGAACATATTTATACACTTTTCTCCAAAAAGAAGACCCATTGCTTACATTGATCTTTCTGCCATTTTATTCACCCCTGTGAAGTAGGTTAGGCCAGGAGCCTCCGACCTTTTTTGAGGCTGCGAGTACCCTTGGAATCCTGACACGGGGGTGATGGGCCCAGCCACAAAATGGCCACCGCAGGAGGCAGAGCTGACCGCAAAGTGCCAGGGTGTCAGGTGACGCACAACTCTCAACAGCACCTCTTCAACATTTCGTGCTCTGTTTAGCAGGAGGCACTTTAAAAACAGCATTTTCTTGCACACACACAACTTCGCTTCAGTCCCACAATGGAGATCCTTGTGATGTGGTGGCAGCTGCTGTGAAAGCAACATTTTAAGAGATCTGCTCAGCCAATCGAATCTCCACTGGCCAATAGGAAGACTTATTAGGCAAAAGCCACACCCACTTCCTGAAAACACTTGGCGGGTGCCAGGAAAACTGTTGGTGGGTGCCGTAGCACCAACAGACGTCACATTTGGAACCCCACCCCGGGTTAGGTTGAGAGAGAGGGACTGGCCTATGGTCACTCGGGGATCTTTCAGAGCAGAGAGGGTGGGAATTTGAACTCGGGCCTCTTGCGTTCTAGTTTGACGCTTTAACCACCACTCCAAAGCGGCACGCTAGGGAGAGGTGTCTAACCACTGCTAAGCAAAGTCCTGTTGGCAGAAGCAGGAGTGGAGGAGCAACTCTGGATGGAAAATGGAAGAGCAGCTGTCCTCAGCTTCCTTCTCACGGCTGCTGCCTGTACTGGATCGAGAGGCCACTCAGCAGCAATGACAGCAGCCACTGGCTTTCCCACATCTGTCCACGTGAACAGGGCAAACAGGAGACCACCCTTCTTGCTTCTTCTACTGGCTGTGCCACGCAGCAGCCCCACAATCTCCATCTGCAACCCACCACCCTTCCAAGGAGCCAGTTTGGTGTAGTGATCAGGAGCACAGGCTCTAATCTGGGAGAACCGGGTTTGATTCCCCACTCCTCCACATGCAGCTGCTGGTGTGACCTTGGGTCCGTCATAAGTTCTTTCAGAGCTGTACTCTCAAGGGCAGTTCTCGAGAGAGCTCTCTCAGCCCCACCTACCTCACAGGGTGTCTGTTGTGGGGAAAGGAAGGGAAGGAGACTGTAAGCCACTCTGAGACTCCTTTGGGTAGTGAAGGGCGGGGTATAAATCCAACCTCCTCCTCTTCTAAGTGGCATACATGGTTCTTTACTCACAATAACTCTGTGCAGCTGGTTAGGTCAACGGTGTACCCACCCCAGCAGGCTTCATGGCAGAGTGGGAATTCGAACCCAGGTCGCTCTGATCGTCAGTCCAACAGGAACCACTACAACCCCCC